TTCATACTGCCAATAACAAAAGCACTGTCCCCATTCCTGATCCCCCAGATGGAGGTGACTGTCTTCTGTTTTACACACCTGACTCATAGCTAAAGACAAGTCATGACAACAGGACCAAGCAAAGTAACAGTATAAACATTCCTAAAAGGTACACACAATTCAGGAGAGTATCCAAAAATCTGCACAGACACAAGAAACACCTTCTGCTCATCTGTATAACAAGGAGGAGCTACAATCAACTCCTTCTCAATGGTCCAGAGCCAGTGTAACACTACAGCCTAAGCTTCAGTGGGAGAAACAGCAGTGGGAGATGGAGCTTTCCACTGAAATTTCAGGAAATCTTCTCCCTGACTATTCATTATAGCCAAACACAGTGACACTTGCCAGCAGTCCCAGCCCTCAGGGTGCTGTGGCCGTAGGATATCAAGTTCAAGACCAGTCAAAGCCACATAGCAAGACTGGTCTCAGAAATAATAACAATAATAATAATAATAAACTTCATTACTATACACTGGGGTGTATTTCATTGGTAAAGCACATGTCTAGGACATGTAAAGTTAGGGATTTGACTCTCTTATTACGATTTTTTTTTATTTTACTTATATGAATACACTGTAGCTGTCTTCAGACACATCAGAAGAGGACATCAGATCCCATTACAGATGGCTGTGAGCCACCAGGTGGTTGCAGGGAATTGAACTCAGGACCTCTGGAAGAGCAGTCAGTGCTCTTAACTGCTGAACCATCTCTTCAGCCCTTATTACGATTTTAATACCTCATACAACATACCTTTGGGCCTCTCCCTAGACAATAGATAAATGGATCAAAGAGTGCCCCCATCTCTCAATATTGCAAATAAAGCAGTTCCTACCTCATTATCATCTGCCAAGGCATTGATTTGCTCCAATTTGTAGGTCCAATATCTGGCTTCTTCCTCTGGGATGTCTACCATAAAAAAGAACAAATTATTTTAGCCGGCAATAGTCATAAGCAAATACTACTTTATTTACACAAACGAATATAGTTAGAAAGGTGGTAGTGACGGATGAAGATTAACTGTGACTCACTTGTTGCCATGAACATTACTATTTTGGAAAGACAACATAATAAACTGCTATTCCTGATTCTGTTTTTGAAAATGATGAAATTAAAGCTCTGAGGGGATATACCATCTATCTATGGTTGAGTTCCTTCACAGAGAAGCCATGATTCAAAAGGCTATCAATGTGACTCCAAAATTACAGTCTGTGCAACTACACTTACGCTCAGCAAGAGCAAACACTCCAAAGGATTAGATTAGAAGAAAAGCTACACCTTGGGATATAAGATGCTTAAAACTTATACTTTTGCCTTCAAAAATTAAAAATACAGCCAAACACAGTGGTCCACACTTGTAATTTCAATACACAGCAGGCTAAGGCAAGTGGATTACAAGTTCAGTAATGAACTTGTACAAACCCAGTCTGGATATGTGGAGTGGAGTTCCAAGCCACCATAGTGAAGCCTTGTCTCAAACAAACAAAAAGATACACACACACACACACACTCACACACACAAATTACCATGTGAGAATCTAGTCAAAACTAAAATCTCAAAGGAATATCTGTCCAAGCTCAGAATAGCATTCATTCACACTAGCCAAGAGTTAAAGCAACCCATATCCATAAATAGATGAAAAAAATGACATACATACATACATACATGTGTGTGTGTGTATATACACACATACGCACACATACGCGCACACACACACACAGAGAAACATTATTCATCCTCTAAAGGGTCTAAAAGGGACCACTTTCAAGCTGGTTCTTAGCTCAGTGACAAACAAGGGACAGGAAGGGCTGGAAGGTTGAGACTGGAAGAACACAGTGAGTATGATGCCACATGGGACCAAGTGAGTACCAGGCTAGCCTAACTACAAGAAGGCCATCTCAAAACACAAAACAAACCTCTAAAACTGTAACTATTTGTGTTTTTATAATATGAGGCCAAGATTATAGCACATACCCATAAAACCCACACTTACGACACTTGCATGGGAAAACAAGTCTGAGGCCAATTTGTGCTACACAGTTAAGTTCTGGGCCAGCCTGAGCTACATTAGCAAGACTTGTCTTTAAAAAAAAAATTAAAAATCAAAGAGTTGGACCCAGATGATGGTGACACACATTTTTAATCTCAGCACTGAGGATGCAGAAGCAGGTGAATCTCCAAGTTTGAGGCCAGTCTGGTCTACAGAGTGAGTTCACACACAAGGAAACATTAAAACAGCTGGCTGACGGAGTATACTCTTATGTAGCCTCTAAGGAAGTGAAACGGCTTGAGAAAGAGACTCAGTGGTCAACTTTTTAAAGCATTGTAGAATTTTATGTACCACATAAAATATCAGACAAGGACAGACTGCAAAGCTAGGAATGGTGGCACACACCTACAATTCCAGTACTCTGAGGACAGAGGTGGGAAGATAATAGTTCTCAGCCAGCCTGGGATACATGAGATCTGATCTCAAAAGCAAAAGAAGAAAAGCAGGCTACATGCATGTTGTTGACCCAGAAGATTACCATGGAGTCCCAGAATACATTTCATCTTGTCAAATGCAATAAAAGTGATTTCTTGCCGGGCAGTGGCAGAAGAAAAATATATAGGCATAGGATCTGGACGGACACTTCTCTAAGCACAGGACAGATATTCCACAAGCCCTCAAGAAAATGTAAAACTAAAGCATTTCACATCCAGCCGGGCAGTGGTGGCGCACGCCTTTAATCCCAGCACTTGGGAGGCAGAGGCAGGTGGATTTCTGAGTTCGAGGCCAGCCTGGTCTACAGAGTGAGTTCCAGGACAGCCTGGGCTATACAGAGAAACCCTGTCTGGGGAAAAAAAAAAAAAAGAAGAAGAAGAAGAAAAGAAAAAAAGTGATTTCTTTCAGCAATCTACAGATTCAACACAATCCCCATCAAAATTCCAACACAATTCTTCAAAGAACATGGAAAGAACAATTTTCAAATTCATCTGGAAAAACAAAAAACCCAGAATAGCGAAAACAATTCTTAACAATTAAAGAACTTCTGGGAGAATCACCATGCATGACCTCAAGCTATACTAAAGTGATAAAAACTGCATAGTATTGGTACAGAAACAGACAGGTAGGTTAATGGTATAGAACTGAAGACCAAGAAACAAAACCACACACAGACACTTGATCTTTGACAAAGAAGCCAAAAATATACAATGAAAAAGAGAAAACATCTTCAATAAATAGTACTGGTCTAACTGGCAGTCTGTATGTAGAAAACTGAAAATAGATCCATATCTGTCACCTTGCACAAGGCTCAAGTCCAAGAGGATCAAGGACCTCAACATAAAACCAGATACACTGAATCTAATAGAAGAGAAATTAGGAAAGAGCCTCGAACTCATTGGCACAGGGGGGAAATTTCCTAAACAGAACTCCAATGGCTCATGCTCTAAGATCAAGAATTGATAAATGGGACCTCATGAAACTGAAAAGCTTCTGTAAGGCAAAGGAAATAGCCAATAGCACAAATCAGCACCTTACAGATTGGGGGAAAAAAATCTTAACTAATCCCACAACCCATAGAAGGCTAATATCCAAAATATATAAAGAACTCAAGAAGCTAACCACTAAAAAAAACAAACAATCCAATCAAAAAATGGGGTATAGAACTAAACAGAGAATCACAACAGATAAATCTTGAATGGCTGAGAAGCACTTAAAGAAATGTTCAAAGTCGTTAGTGATCAGGGAAATGCAAATCAAAACAACCCTGAGATTCCACCTCACACCAACCAGATTGGCTAAGATAAAAAAAAAACTCAGGTGATAGCACATGTTGTTGAGGATGTAGAGAAAGAGGAACACTCCTCCATTGTTGGTGGGATTGCAAACTGGTACAACTACTCTGGAAATCAATCAGAAGGTTCCTCAGAAAACTGGAAATAGAGCTACCTGAAGACTCAGCTATATCACCCCAAACGATGGCCTACCATGCCACAGGGGCATGTGTTCCACTATGTTCATAGAGGTCTTATTTGTGAAAGCCAGAAGCTGGAAATAACCCAGATGTCCCACAACAGAAGAATGGATACAGAAAATGTGTTTCATTTACACAATGGAATACTACTCAGCTATTAAGAACAAGGACATCATGAGTTTTGCAGGCAAATGGATGGAACTAGAAAATATCATCCTGAGTGAGGTAACTCAGACTCAAAAGGACATGCACAGTATGTACTAATAAGTGGATACTAGCCAAAAAAGTACACAATACCCAGGATACAATCCACAAAACTTAAGAAGGTTAACAAGCCAAAGGGCCCAAGTAAGGGCCTCAATCCTACTTGGGAGGGAGAAGAAAGCAATCTTAGGGGACAGAGGGAGGGAGGGAGGGACCTGAGTGGGAGAGGGAAGAGGGTGGTGAAAGGGCAAACAGGATCAGGTTTTAGGAGGAGAAACAGGAGGGAAGCCCTGAAGGCCAACAGAAAGAATGGAAACAGGTAACCTCAGGAAGTAGATCTCCTCCAAACTTCCTTCTCCCAACTCATCCATTATTCCAGCCATTGTCCAATAGCAGCAGGCACTCCCTGGGAACCTGCTGGCCAAGCCAGTCAGAGGAACAAGTAGGTAGGCAAACTTTAGATCTTCATGCTTCCTCCTCTCCCCAATAACCAATCCCCAGTTTCATCTCCAGCTTTGTAGACTACCTGCTATGGCCTCTCCTCGATCTCTGCTTCCATTCCTAGGGGACTAAGCAGATCCTGTAAGACACCCTGCTTGTCTCCCTCCTGTGGACCCCTCAGCCATTCCCTATTCATCCCCATTTCTAAAGTGTTAGCTACCAATACCTAGAAACTCTTTTTATCCAGCACCCCCAGTGTCTACACCCATCCCAGAAGCATTCCCTACCAGACAACATACCTTCCTAAGAACCAGAGAGGGCAACAGAAACCAAGGAACAAAACATCCACCAACAAAGACAAGACCAGATATCAAACACCTAGAATTACAATCATCCTGAACCCAGATGCCAAGACAGAAGTATAAAAACACAAGCAATAACAGCCAGGGCAATATGTCCCCACTGAAGCCAAGCAAGCCTACCACAGTAGACCCTGAAAAATGGATCATAGCTGAAGCACAAAACAAAGACCTTAAAATGGCCTTCATGAACATGATAGTCCTTAAAAAGGAATAAATTCCATGAAGAAATCAATGAAAACACAAACAGTGGAAGGAAATGAATAAAACAGTTCCAGACCTGAAAGTAGAAATAAAATCAGTAAGAAAAACCCACACTAAGGGAAATCTGGAAATAAAAAATTTAGGAACTCGTTAAATGAAATAAGTTTAGGAAATGAAAAATACAGGAACCTCAAGGCAAGCCTCACCAACAGAATATCAGAATATAAGAGATGGAAAAGAGAATCTCAGGCATTGAGGGCAGGATAGAAGAAATGGATACTTTAATCAAAGAAAACGTTAAATCTTTATTAAAAAAAAAAAAACCCACTGGCATAAAACATCCAGGAAATCTGGAACACTATGAAAAGACCAAATCTAAGAATAAGAATAAAGAAAGAAGTAGTCAGGTCAAAGGCACAGAAAGTATTTTCAACAAACTATAGAAGAAAATCTCCCTAACTTAAAGAAGGATACGACTTTAAGGTACAAGAAGCATATCAAGCTAGGTATGATGGCTCATGCCTTTAACCCTAGCCCTCAGGAGTTAGAATCTAGCAGATCTCTGTGAGTTCAAGGTCAGCTTGGTCTACACAGTGGGTTCCAGGATAGCCAGGGCTACACTGTAAGACCCTGGCTCAAAAACAAAAACACTTAAAAACAAAAAAAAGCATACAGAACTCTAAATAGACCAGATCTTCTCCCCCTCCATCCCCCCCCCCCAAAAAAAAACCCTTGGCACATAACAGTCAAAACACTAAACATACAGAACAAAAAAAGAATATTAAAAGCTGCAAGAGAAAAATACCAAGAATCATTTAAGGGGAAACCTATTAGAATAACACCTGACTCTTAACAGAGACTCAAAAAACCAGAAGGGCCTAGAAAGATGTGCTACAGACTCCAAGAGACCATAGATGCCATGCCAGACTACCATACTCAGCAAAATTTCCCATCACAATAGATGAAGAACATAAGGCATTCCATGATAAAAACCAATTAAAGCAGTATCTATCTACAAATCATCCCTATAGAAGGTGAAAGAAGGAAAACCCCAACCTAAAGAGGTTAGCCATACCCTAGAAAGCACAAGAATAAATAATTCCAGACCAGAAATCAAAAGAGGAGAAACACACACACCACCACCATCAATCATCACCACAACAAAATAACAGGAATCAACAAGCACTGCTCATTGATATCTCTCAACATCAATAGTCTCAAATCCCCCAATAAATGACACAGACTAACAAAGCATCCAAGATACACACCTTAACACCACAGACAGTGTAGTACAGTTGAAATTAACACCCTAGGCTCTGGAACCTGGTCACCTTTCCCTCTTCCCTTCCCTTGTCTTTACAGGTTCTCATTGTGTTGCGCCCACATTATTCTTGAACTCCTGAGTTCACGTGATCTCATTTTAGCCCCCAAGTACTGGGTGCAGTTATAGGCATATGTCATTCTTGCCAGGAAAGATCATACAAAATTAAATCCTGTTTTTACCACTTCATAGCTATGTGACCTTGGACAAAATACTTAATTACTCCATGCCTCAGTTACCTTTATTCTGAGGTGCTAATAATAGCTGGGTCTACTTCAAAGGAGTGTGAAGAAAGCCAGATGAGCCTCCATAAATCATGCTGCTATTATAGTGTATATTCACAACATAAAGCCAAGCACTGAAAATGTTCTAGCAGAATATTGTATACAGCATTTATATCCTAACTATGTAATCAGTAGATGAAACGGTTAAGAAGCAAAAGGTTGTTGCACATTTACATTTAAAATACTAGACATTATCAACATGTGAAAATCAAATATCAGTTGATCAAATTATTAGAAATTTTCTGCATGTGCGCATATATATAAATAAAACTTTTTGAGTCAATAAAAAGTGTTTGTAAATTGACAATATATAATTGATGCAAGATTGTAAACTTGAGCTACATAACAAGGCCATCTCTGGGATTTAAAAAAAAGCTAAATAAATAAACTGAAATTATGAAGAGCCACAATAATAGTAAATGTGAACACTATTAATGCAAATGAAAAAATTTAAAGAATACTAAAATAAGTAAACAGAAGATAACATTTCTAGTCATATCCAATCTGCAGCCTGTGTCCCTGAATAGCTATGAATGCAGCCCAACTCATCTATAGATGGCAATGGTAAGTCACAATGTCAAAAAGCTGGACACTCCCCGCCCCGACATAAACAAATTACAAAGGTTAAAAGTTGGGAACTACAAAATGATGGTAAAGATGTGCAGAGGTAGAGCACTCCCAGGTAGTAAGAGCATAAACTATGTAACCTTTCTACCAAATAACTCTGCAGTGTTCATGAAAAAAATAATGCACAAACCTTTGGACCTGCAATCCTACTTTATCCTAGGCCCATAAGGATCACAAATATACAACATCATTAGTGACAGCAATATGTGACATCAAAAAAAAATGAAAGACATCCTGAATGCCCATCAATAAAGGATTACAGAATAAATTCACTGAAGGTGAATGTTCCAATCAGCAAGACAGATATTAAAGTCCACCATATAGATACATACCTTCAGAGGCAGGAGGACTGTTGTGAGTTCAAGGTGAGCCTGGAATTTGGAGTGGTCTTAAAAAAAATCTAAAAAATTAAGTACACTCCATTTTCAGCACTCTTTAACATTAAATTAACAAATTATAGTTTTAACAAAATATACCGAATGTTAAAGTATTTTAAAAGAATAAATCTAAAAATTAGAAATTCCAAGTCATTTAGTAAATATTAACAGAATATAACAAAATACAGTGTTTAGTGTTTGCTTGCTTGCAGGTAGAATCTCACTGTATACCCCTATGTAGAGCTTGCTGAGTAGACTAGGCTGGCCTTGCATTTTTGAAGCACCTCCTGATTCAGCTTGTATAGTGTTGGGATTATAGGCATGAGCCACCAGGCCCAGTTAATGTGCAATTTTTAATGAAGACCAACATACTTTACTTCATCTTGTGCTAACTGTCATTGGGCAGAGTGGATGAACACATACATCTCTAGAGAACATGCCTGAGAAGACAAGATAGCCATTCACAAAACAGCTAACAGACAGTCTCAAACGGTGTCCTTACAAAGGACTAAATCAGTCTTTAGTGCTTATCAAAATAGACTCACCAAAAGGCAGCTCAAATCTTGTGTCAAGCAAGATTTTATGAGGCGTTGGATTTTTAGTTCCACAGATCTCATCATCTTTCATTAATGTCTCTGCCTCCAGTGTAGACCACTCCCCAGGCCCTTCCTAGGAAACAAAGGTCTAAGATTAAACGCTAAACTTTCTTGGCTCCCTTTGTGGTTCAGGAGCCAGATGTTTTCCTCTGAATTCTCTTCTTCAAGAGCTTCAGAAGACCACTCACATCCTAATAATTAAAAGGAGGAAAAAAAACAAAACCCCACTATTACCACTCATTCTTCGGCTCTGTTCTCTCCTTTGCTGAGATAAGGACTCCAGGGGCAGCTTTCACTGTGTTCAGCTGTGCAGTTCTGGTGAAGACAACTTTCCAGAGTATCAGACTATAAAGTATCCATATGAACCAATAACTCAATCACATGATTCTTAATTACTGTGTCACTGGTAAATAGAATTGAATAGAGCTGCCATGAAAATGAGCTGCTCCTCTGTCTATAGTCATAGAGACTTAGAACTCACAGAAGTTTAGACAATGATGTCAATACCCTCCATTTCCCCACTTGCAGACAAAGTTTCTACTGCACAGTCAATCTAACCAGTACCAGAGTCACGTCTGTGTAAGTACAAAGCCAATGGGAAATAGTGATATCCAAGTCGAATCCAGGAAAGTGGACTAAATTCAACCTGAAATGAGTAGACACAACATAAATACCTACCAACCACATCTGATAATTCCATAAATTCCAATAGGATTACACACAGAAGAAATCTGAAAACAGTTGCCTGGGGAGTAGCTTAGAAAAATAGGCCCCAAAATAGTATCCAGCCAATTGGCTAAGGAAGTTTGATGGTGTTCTTCCCAGGACAGTGTCTAAGATGAGAATTAGAGACCACATACACATTCCTTGGACAAGACTATCTTTCTGATAGGATTAAGTGGTGCTGAGGAATCTCCAAGATCAGCCAGAGGGCATAGGGCAGAGCAGCTTACAGACAACTCCTAAGCCTTTGCGAGAGGTGAGAAATGGTGAAGGCATGTGCCCTCTACTTAGAAAAGAACAGGTACGCATGGATAAATATCAGCTGACGTGAAGCTAAGATGAGGGAAGGCAAAGGCCACAATCAACTTCCAAACAAGCAGCATGCTAACTAACCTCATCCGACTGACGGATTGTCTTCAGTGCAATCCACACGGTCCCCACCATTGTGTCCCAGATCAATCCTTTGTTCCACACCTCCACGCTTAGACCCAGGTCCAGACGACTGATCTCACTAGTGGAAAAAAAATAAAGGAGTCCTTTGAGGAGAGCTAGATAACAGGAAAGAAAATACTGTAATTCCCTGTTTTGCTAGCCTTGAACACTTTTCACTAATACTTTATTTTATGGGAAATCAGAGTATTCCCAAATGCTGCAAGTACTCTTTAGATTTCTAGGAACTTATAACACATATCTGTAGAATAATACTTTTATAGCTGAACATGGTGGTATATGCCCATAATTCCAGAATTCAGGAGGCTGAGACCAAGTTCAAAGCCAGCCAGTGCTACATAGACTCTGGAGGATAGACAGGAGTGAGGGAGGGAGATTGAAAGACGGAGGGAAGAAAGGAGGGAGAGATGGGAGGGAGGGAGGGAGGAAGGGAGGGAGGGAGGGAGGGAGGGAGGGAGGGAGGGAGGGAAGAAGAAAATGAATTTGTTTTTATATTTTATTGCTACTGTTTTAGATAGGGTTTCCAAAAATGCATTTAGTATATGATTCAAGAAAAGTTCTAGAGATCTATTATTAACAAAAAGTTACTGTAAACTTGAAATTTTTTAGGGGTGTCTGGAGGAACAGCTCAGTGGTAGAATACTTGTCTAGTATGTACAAGGCACTGAGTTCTGTCCCCTGTTCTAAATAAAGAAAACTTTTTAATAGAGCAAACTTCATTTTAAGTGTGGTTAGCACCAAGGTTGGGGGATGGTTCACAAAGAAACTTTTGGAGGTGATGGAACATTACCTTGAATATGGTGATGGTAAATCAAGTGCATATCTGTGCTCAATGTCCCCATGCTGTGTACAAAACAGGTCTAGTTTTATACACTGATTATATCTCAGTAAAAGTGGAAAAGGAAAGGGAGAATAAGTAGGGAGGAAGGTTCGCAAGAAGAAAGGAAGCAAAGTTCCTTTGTTTATCCTCTGCCCTCTGGAGATACAATCATGGTCAGACCAATGCAGCATCACAAGAACATAAGGTCAAGTGATCCAGGCATTACTTCCAGGCCTGCCTAGACTTCTACCACTGTGCACAACCTTATGTTTTATTATTAGCACTACCATGGCATTAACTTAGATCTATGGAACACATACGGGGAACTTTCAGGAAGAAAAGTCTTGTTTACAAGATTTATGAAACAGCAGCCAGGAAGAAAAGGGTCCTGAGTACGCATGGCTTTAGTGGGGTGCTGGATAATAGAGTAGTTGTCTAACATGTGTAGGGCCTGGGTTTCATCTCTAGCAGTGAGAAAGCATAAACTAAAAGTAGTGTCAAATATGGCAGAACTCTGACTTGGAAGAGCTATCACAAGTACAACCACAATGCTAGGGTAAAACAAAAAAAAATCCATATGTTAGTGCTAAGAAGTTCTCCAGAAAGCTTTTGTTGAAACACAAGGTGATTTAAAGAGAAAGGCAAGAAGGTGAGAAATGGATGCTATAAATATAAAATTCAGAAAGACATTACCCAGAAAAATGTGAGCTACTCATTACAGTGAGTGTTAAGTGTGTATTTTATAGAAAGCTTGGGCTCTCTGTCATCCTGTAAGATAAATGGTCTCAAATGCACTAGGAGTGTGGACTTACAGACACAGAAATCATGTCAACTATGTTGTAAGTATAAAGCAAAGCAAAGAAAAAAACAGTCCTTTTACAAATGCAGTAGAGCACAGAGTATACTGATTAGCTCGCTTACTTTTTCAATTAATATTTTTCAAGTACTAGATACACACAACACGCATACACACAACATGCACACACAACACACACACATACATTTTATATATATATATATAATTGGTATTTTGGGGAAGACATGTAACGTCAGACCAGTTCTTGTCTCCAGAAATTTTCCAAGGTTTCTGGAGAAGTGTCCAAAGCCACAGGCTAGTAGGTACTTAACCCAACCAATAACTTAGGCTGTTCACAGTGGGGAAACTGAGCTTTTCATCACATAGTTTGTTCACCTAATGAAGCAGACTATAAAAGTATGTACAACATCTGCAAACCTATGTGAAGTGTCTTTCATTTGAATCTAAAAAGGAATTTTTTTGTGGGGATGTATATCTGATAGTCCCAATGCAACTCCCAATTTGCATCTCAAGCTACCAGATAAAAGAAATAGCCTAAATTCTTTAGCAGTTTGACACTGACCGAGAAAAAAAATCTATTCTTCACAGATTTCTATGAGAAGCCGCTCCTCTCATGTATGTATGCTCAGAACATACAATAAAAAAGTCAGAAGTCTATGCTTATCCCCAGAGCCCAGAGGAAATTTCTTTTCCTTCTCAATTAACTCAATCAAGGCCATATGGGAACATGTATACACAACAGTCTGAGCCAAGAACACTCATACCAATAAGGGAAATGTAGTCTTTAAATAACGAACAATCTAAGGACTGGAACATATAGCTCAGTGGTGGAGTTCTTACCTAGCATGGATAGGCCCTGAGTTTGATCATCAAATAATAATAAAAATGAATAATTATAAGTGCTAGCTACAAGATATAGAAATATTAAATATAAACAACATAAGCTGGGAATGGTGAAACATGCTTGTTACTGTAGCTCTTGGGCAACTAAAGCAGGAGGATTCCTGCAACCTAGAGGCCAGTGTCTTATAGTATTGAGTTCCAGGTAACCCTAGGCTATAATGTCTCAAAACACACACACACACACACACACACACACACACACACACACACACACAGAGAGAGAGAGAGAGAGAGAGAGAGAGAGAGAGAGAGAGAGAGAGAGAGAGCGCGAGCGCACCAATAATGAGCCCTCAAAGATTAGAAATTCCAGATCATGCCCAGCAGTTTAGTCAACTTGAGGGTAGCCTGGGCTACTATCAGCCCTTGTTGCCAAAGCATAAATTAATGAATAAATGAGTAACACAGTATAATAATCCATATGTAGATAGCTAGAGCTACATACATTGAGGTGGCAGTAGTTAAAAGAAGAAGAAAAACAAAGGAAACAGATCAGCTATGG